CTGACATTCTAGAGCCTGCTTGGGATTCTCTCTCTCCCTCCCTCTCTGGCCCTCCCCTGCTCGCTCTTGCTCAAAATAAATAAATAAAAAATGAAATAAAACAGGTGTTTTTTTAAAGTCTAAATGATACATGAAAAGAAGAAATAAAATTGAATCACTTAAATAATTAAACCCAGAGAAGGCAAAAAAGAGAATTCAAAAAAAGGAAACAGAGAACAGATGTAACAAATAGAAAACAGTTACCAGTTTTATATTCGTCTCTTTCTCCTTTCAGTTCTAACAGTTTTCACCTTCTGTATTTTGCTGCTCTGTTGTTAGGGACATGCATGTTCAGGAGTATTGTATCTTTTTGGAGACTTGACTCCTTTATCATTAGGTAATACCCCTTTATCTCTGATAATCTTCCTTGCTATAAATTCTGCTTTGTCTGAAATGAATATGGCTACTTAAGTTTTCTTCTGATTAGTGTTTTCGTGGCTGCATCACATCTTTCTTTATCCTTTTACTTTTTATCTGAGTCTTTGTATTTAAGAAGAGTTTCTTGTAGATTCCATGTCTAATGACCTTTATTTCTTATCCGTATCTGATCATTTCTGTCTTTTAGCTGGTATATATGGACCATTCATATTTAAAATGATTATTGATATGGTTGGATTAAAACCTACTTTTTTTTTTTTTTAAACATTTCTTGTATGGCCGGCCTGTTGGCAATAAATTACCTCAGTTTTTATTTGCCTGAAATAGTCTTCATTCTTTCACTTTGGGGGTAATTTCATTGGATATAGAATTCCATTTTGGCGGATTCTTTTTCTTTCAACACTGCAAAGATTTTTTTCCCCTCCTCTTCTTGTTTCAATGGTTTCTGATAAGAAGTCTTCTAAATTCGTCTCCTTGTTCTTCTGTCAGTAAGATACTTTTCTCCCTGGCTTCATTCAGCATGTTCTCTGTGTTCTGGTTTTCTGTAATTTAAATATGTCCAGTCGGTTTTTCTTGTTGTTAATTATTTGCCTTTTCCGTATTAATCCTGTTTGGTGTTCTCTGAGCTTCTTGGACTTGTGATTTGGTGCCTGCCAGTAATTTTGGAAAGTTCTCCGCCATGAGTTTGTCAAGTATTACTTCTTGGGATTCTTTCTCTCTAACCCCTCTCCCACCCAGGTGTGCTTTCTCCCTCTCTCTCAAAATTAATAAATAATATCATATATTGAAAAAAATTAATAAATAATAAAAACATTAAAAAAAAAACAAATG